AAAAAAAAAAAAAAGGAACTGATGCAGGGTCACCAAATTATAATTCTGCATTAAGAAATATCATCATTTACTAACAACATTTTATAAAAGAAATGACATTTTAAAATGAAAAAGATAGAAGAAATTCTCAGAATGGAAAACTCCGTAACAAAATAGAAAAGTCAGCAACTTTATACAGACTTTATCTCTGCATTGTCCCTCACTCCGTGACTCCCCAAGATCCCCGTTTTGTTTTAGACGGGTGTGGGGGTACCCACAACATCAAGTCTCATCTTGCCCAGTCACTCCTTTCTATTGTAGCCCCACCTCTGGCTGCTTATCTCTGATGATGGAGAATTTCCCAGCGTCTGACATGGGCTGTTCTGACAGCAACTACTACAACACCCATCCTCCTTCCTCTTAGAACAGTTCCAGGGGCGCCTGGGTGGCTCAGTCGGTTGACCCTCCGACTTCGGATCAGGTCATGATCTCACGGTCTGTGAGTTGGAGCCCCGCGGCGGGCTTTGTGCTGACAGCTCAGAGCCTGGAGCCTGCTTCAGATTCTGTGTCTCCCTCTCTTTGACCCTCCCCCATTCATGCTCTGTCTCTATCTCAAAAATTAATAAACATTAAAAAAAAAAAAAAAAAAAAGAACAGTTCCAAAGTACTGTCCTGAGTGCTGTCCTCTGACCATGGTCCAGCTGTAGGCTGGGGAAAGAGGATCATGGAAATACTCAGTTTTTACTCAAAAAACAAACAAAAAAGAAGAGGTACTTCTTCAGTAAAGTAAGACTAAATTTTAGGCCTCTAAAAAAAAAAACCTTTGCAAAGGAACTTAACCTTTTGGGATCATTTCCTCAAATTCTAATCAGTGTTTTTGTGGACAATACTCCAGTGTCTTAGGAACACTACTGCAGCCGCCATTGGTGGTAGGTACCATCTGATCTCAAAGAGGACAGTAGCAGGCTGCCAAGGCCATGTAGAGAATCATACTTTTCTAGGGATGAATGAAAACTCCAATATTGTTGAGGTCAGATGTTACAAGGCCTAGGAATAAGGAAGTCGTTGGGGATTGTAGGGCTATCAAGTCAGGAAGGTTTTAAGGACCTAAACACCTTGCTGATAATTTAAATGTGCCCTATTCACCTTCTCTAATTCCGTCCATTAGAATTAGGGTCTGAGATCTGTTCATTCTTAGCTAATGATCAATACTTCACCCAAATGTTCCACCCTTCAGTAGAAGACACTTCAAAATTTATTAATGCGGTTACAAAAAGACACACATTCTGACCTTAAAGGAAAGTTCATCTTCATTCTCCCCATGGAAATCATATAAGGCTTTGGCCTTCTTCCCCTTAAGTGCTAAAGCAGACATACTTTTTGCCTCAGCTGTGAAGATACCAAAAATTCAAATATGTATAGAAAGACATTAGACTAAAACACAAATCAAACATTTTAAGAACTGCTCCCCCCACCCCCCCACCCCCACGCTTTTCATTCCCAGGACAGAATAATTTCAATTAATTTTGAATTTATTTAACTTGCAAAAAGGTGATGTTTTCCTAGCAGGAAAAAAACTATACAAAATACATTTAGTAGACAAAATTAGCCACTATTAAGTGAAGGCATTTTTGTCTTCCCCTCCCCCCATAACGCCAACAAAGTATATGAAGAGAGTTTCCATAAATTTATGAATCAACTCTTTCAAATGTAGGCAAACAAGTTAAACTGAGCATAGCCAGAGGGAAAAGAAATATATATAATTTCAAAGGTTTCAGGCTTTCTCCCCTTAGAGAGTAACTGTTATTTCTGTAGTTGTCACACCTTGGCAGGGCCGCACAAAGACTGCCGGGAAGATCCCCTCCCTGTCATGCAGTCTGCCTTTGTACCAGTCAGAGTCCACATGCTCAAGGATCAGGATCCGGTCTCCCCTCCTGAAAGCTAAGTCTTCACTGGTCTCTGCTGTAAAACTGTGAAGCGCTTCACACCATTCTCCAGAAAGACTATTATTATCCTGTTACAAATCAGAAGTTTGGTAAGGAACGTGAGATTTTATTTGACATTGATTTCTACAAAGCTTAAAAAGCAATGGGGGAAAAAGCTAAGGGGTCATAAGATTTCAAAGCCTGAACGCTTCTTTCAATCACCTAACATTTTATGTTGCTACCAGCTTTCAGAAATAAAAGTTTCCAATAACTTTTTTTCTTAAAAATATAATTCTAAATGACAGATACGATGGGATTTCTAGCTTTTCTGCTTTTAAAGTACATATAGTACTTAAGCAAAAACTTTTCTGTAAGTATGATCTATGACATTAGTTACATTAAAAACATTAGGTAAAAGCATATAGTATTTATGACACTATGAGAAAACTCTGGTAAAGCACATAATTTTCAGTGAAGCTCTTCTTTACCTAAATTATGAACAGGCTGTTAATCCCTGGTCTTTACCTGATTCAGAGGCTATCAGATTCCATACCATGGGACTTCATTAATTCACATTTTTAATTTTATGAGGTGTAGTTAGCTGTAAGGCTGCCAGGGTAATGACCCAAACATGGTGGGTTAGTATGATGGAATGCTCCAACAAGAATGCTTTTACCCCAAACACACCGGAGGAGGGTTTTGCTCTGCAAAAAGGTGACTCTGCCAAGTCAAGATGGGAAGCCCATGCTTGAGGAGCTTAAGCAGGGAAGAGAGGATAATGCTAAGGCAAAGGGTTGGAGCTAGACAGGCCTAGGTTTCAGACCCACCCCCAGCTTCACCTTAGTGTTGCGGCAAGGATCAAATGAGGTCATGCATGTAAGCACACTTGGCACAGTGCCTAACACATCTTAAGTTTGCAACAACTGATGGCTTATAATACAAAAACAAAAAAAGCAAACGAAAACCCCTCTTGTTCTTGCACTTGAGTAATCAATACTAACGAATGGTACTTTTGTTCCCAAGACATGTAGGCAGCAACATGGATATTTCCTTCTGGAGAACTGTAGTCACCTTCTTCCCTGTTTGATTTAATCAGTGCGTGGTGATGAAAGAATTAAGAGACACACAGCCCAATTACCAGTGACATATTGACAATGACCCCATCAGGCTCATTCTTCTACAATATGCTGCAAATAAACAATGGAAGTCATCCACATTCCTAATGCAGTTTAGATACTTCTGAAGTCATGCTACATAAAGTTTTTAAGCCATTTTTTCTCTCATTATACAAATATTACAAATGCTCCCAAACACCTGGAAAGTTTGAAAATGTATAAAGAAGTGAAGAGGTGGGGGGGAAAACCCACCCACCTAGATAATCTTACCACCTAAAGGCAACTAGGCAATTGCATGTTAACAAATGTATTTCCTTCTAGTCTTTTTATGCTATATATTCAATTTCCCTATAACATATTTTCCTCCCATGACATTTATTTTATAAATCTAGTATTCATGGCCTCAGAACATTCTCCTAATAATGGTCATAGTTAGGTTGCTTCTAGTTTTTTCCTATTATAAAAACAGCACTATGACCATCTTTGTGACTAAAATCTTGTCCCATTTTTTTTTTTATCCTCTTCTTGGGGTGAGAAACAATAATAATGTAATAATCTGTACTTTCTCTTTTTTTAAATTTATTTATTTTGACAGAGACAGCGTGAGCAGGGAAGGGGCAGAGAGAGGTGAAGAAAGAATCCCAGTCAGGCTCAGCACCACTAGTGCAGAGTCCTACTAGGGGCTCGATCTCACCAACCATGAGATCATGACCCGAGCTGAAGTCAAGAGTTGGACGCTTAACTGACTGAGCCACCCAGGTGCCCCTGTACTTCCTCTATTTTAGCATTCATATAATTACTTGTTTAGTGTTGAACTGTATTGAATCTTTGTTAAATGGATAGGTTAATGGTATCTTATTGCTGCTTTACAAGGTATTTCTTTGATTACTAATAAGGTGAATTTTTTTTCTTTTTTTTTTAATGTTTATTCATTTTTGAGAGAAAGAGTGAGAGAAAACATGAGTGGGAGAGGGGCAGAGAGAGGGGGGGGAAAGAGGATCTGAAGAGGACAGCAGCAAGCCTGATGTGGGCTTGAACTCACAAACTGTGATATTGTGACTTGAGCTGAAGTCAGACATTCAACCAACTGAGCCACACAGGCGCCCTAGTTAAAAACTTTTTTAATATCAGGGCACCTGGGTGGTTCAGCTCCTTAAGCATTCAACTTCAGCTCACGTCATGACCTTACAGTTCGTGAGTTTGAGCCCTGTGTCAGACAGACAGTGCTGGTAGCCCAGAGCCTGGAGCCTGCTTTGGATTTTGTGTCTCCCTTGCTCTCTGCCCCTCCCCTGCTTGTGCTGTCTCTCTCTCTCTCAAAAATAAATAAACATTAAAAAAAATTTAAGGGATGCCTGGGTGGCTCAGTCAGTTGAGCGTCCAACTTCAGCTCAGGTCATGATTTCGCGGTTCATGAGTTCGAGTCTCACCTCAGGCTCTGTGCTGACAGCTCAGAGCCCGGAGCCTGCTTTGGATTCTGTGTCTCCCTTTCTCTCTGCCCCTCCCCTGCTCATGCTCTGTCTCTCTCTCTCTTTCTCTCTCAAAAATAAACACTAAAAAATATATATATTAAAAATAAACTTAAAAAGGGGCACCTGGGTGGCTCAGTTGGTTAAGTGTCTGACTTTAGCTTGGGTCACAATCTCACAATTTGTGGGTTTGAGCCCCATGTCGC